TTTTTATTTTTTATTTTATTTTTTATTTTTTATTTTATTTTTTATTTTTTATTTTATTTTTTATTTTTTATTTTATTTTTTATTTTTTATTTTATTATTTTAAAAAATATATCATACCAAGCTTTCACTAAGTCATAAGAAAGATATTGAAAGTTTTCAATAATTTGAGAAAACATCAAAGTCTTAAAGGAAATACTTCCTTTGCAGATATTATTGATTTATTAAAATGGTTATTAAAATAAAAATATATTTAATAAAAAATGATTGTGTTTATGAAGTGAGAAATGTAATGATGTATTTATTTATTGTTATTTTTATTATTTCTCCAAGATTCTTTTTGTGGTGATTAAATTTTCTGATAAAAGAAGTGATGGAAGTTGTGACAATTTTATATGACAAGGAATTGATTTGTATTTTGACTTTGTACTTTTATTTTATGACCTTTTTTTTTTTTTATTTTGAATATGAACATAACAAAAACTCAAAATTATTATATTAAAGAATAATTTAAGATTGAAGTGAATTGATAATGTTGAAATTTTTTTGAATTTTTGAATTTTGAATGTTCAAAGATTAATTATTATTATAATTATTTATTTCTGAAATTTTTTGCTACAATGATTTTTAACTGCAAATATATCTTCTTTTGAAGAATAAATTTCAATATTGTGAGTATCATGAGTATAATTTATTAATTTTATTAATAGCAACCATCTTTTAATTCTTTGATTTTTATTATTACAAAAAATTTGTTCAAGTTGATTCTTAGACATTTTTATATATTTTTTTTAAATAATTAATTAATAATTAACTAATAATACTATGCACAATACACAATACATAATACAATAACATGAATAATTTATTAGGGGAAGTCATGGTGAAACTAGAGGAGATCGTGATGATATGGAACAACAGGTTGTGGGAAGGAGTAAATTAATAGTGAACTTTTCTTAAATATCCCTTAAAAAATTTTATTTTCGTGAAAAGATACATGATATGATTTCATTTAAGAAAATTCAGGTAGTCTAAAATGTGTTAGAGAATACAGGAGAAGCTAAATGAGATTCTAAAACAATCATTGAACCCCCATAGACATGAAGGTAATATAATTAATTATTTTTTTAACAAAATCTTCTCTTTATTTTCTTTATTTCCATAAAAAATTATATTTAATAATTACTTATTATCGTTAGTATCCCAATATTATTCCTGTCACATCGAAGTCACGTCACGAGATGCTTTCATCCAATTGGTGAATACTGGACACTGTGTAAGAAAAGATTTCCAAAACACTTGTAAATAAAAATAGTAGATTATTGATCGTCACAAAATGCTTTTAATTTGTTAACATTTTCGATCTACCCAACGTAACCATAAACTTTAATTATTGTTTTTTTTAACAAAAATAATAATTACTCGGAATTTTCAATGTTTTGATGTATATTCTAACCAACGTTCTGAAAAAAAAATAATAATTTTCTTATTTCTTTACCTTTTCGATCTACCTAATTTTTAAACGAAATTCACATTTCAACTCATTAGTGGAAGCTAGACTAATAGACAATGGAATTAATTAGAACAATGGATAATTACAGAAGATATAATGATTGCATTTTATAAGTATTGCATTATTATTTAAAATTGCGTGGAGTTTAATTTTTCGATTATTCTACTGTGGTGCAAATGAAGCGAATTCTCTTACAGCAATTCAAAGATACCGAAACATTGAAAGATGGTAATACACAAATTTAATTCTTAGCCGAGTAAATACCCTAATTATGCAGTTTATAATTATGCAAAAGGGAATCAAACAAATTGTGGTCCTAATTTTGGAGGCAGTTTTTGTATTGGAGATAATGCAAAATTTTTTTATGATTATAGTAATTATAAAAAAGATATCTGAGAGCTTTCGATATTGCTGATTATGAAGTTTTCAAAGCCAAAAAGAAAACCACTTAGTTGTTTTTAAAATTATGGATATATATCAAATTATTATTTTATTAATGATTATTACTTTAGTAGTTGGATATTTATTTTGTATAGGTTACAAAGATGCTCTAAAGTAAAGAAAAAAAGAACAATTCAATTAATAAATTAAATTAATAAATATTTCAATATTTCAAAAAGAAATAATTTCAAAACGTGCCGTTCTTAATACTTAGCTATATATTAATTAATCAATTCGAAAATTTTTTATAAAATTTATTTTATACAAATCTAAAAGAAGACAAGAAATCGAATTTAAATCGAACGAAAAATTAAATTAACACCAAATGATCTTCAAATGACAATTGCCCCAGTTAAACTAATCCTTTAAATTTTTAACAAATTTTCAAAAAATGGCATTAAAATTTTTTTGATAAATTATCACAAAATTTTACTGAACTCCTTTTAATGATAAAGATGACTATATCATAATCATTGAAGTTAAAACTTTTACTGCTCACACTAACATATTGAGATATCGATCACTGTTTTCGTAAAGAATTATTCAGAACAATATCAAAATTATCAAACCAAATATTTCTAATGAAATTTTTGATATTATTCTCAAGTTTACAAGCCACAGTATAACTAATTTATACATATTATTAATATTATTATTTAATTTATGTAATATATAGATATATTTTATGGTGGTATCGTTAACTTAGAATGTTGAAACTAGAATAGTTTTTGACTTAATGTTAGTAGCTAATGAATTTGAACCCGAGGAATTATCCAAAAAACTAGAAACTCATCTTATCGAAACCAAAGCTTCTTGGTTAAGAACACATTTTTCTTTAGCATACCATAATATTTTTAACAAACCAAACTTTAAAGATTTAGAAAATTTTTGTAATGACATTGTGGTAAAGGATCTTAATCTTATTTTTGATAGTTCAGATTTTCAAAAGAGATGATTTACAAATAGAACTAAAATCTGGGAATATACCATCAATTGGGGAATTTCTCAGAATTCTACTCTACCTATAAATGGACACAGGAAATTTTTTAACTTTAAAAACTACTCTACAACAATGCTTACATAGTTTCATATTTCTGGCAAGGATATTTTGGATAAAGTAGAATCTACAAGATGCGGTGTAATTTAGATCCTGAACGACCGATGAATTACCTCCAAGATCTATTTTGGTACCAGAATCGCCTGCTCGTACAAAGGAACCTTTTTTCAACTATAATTTCTGATGAACATGCAGCCAAAATTTCCTCCCGGATTGATCGTAAAACTACTCATTATTCTTCAACAAATTATCCATATGAATTTCAGTTAATTCTCAAACTTTTTGGAGCATGTGTCATGGTCACGCCGGTAGCAAACACAGATGAAATTTGGATACAATCCTTTAATGTCGGATAATACTAATACAATTATGATAAATGAATGTATGCAAAATGATATTTTCATTTTCTCATTGGAAAATGGTAATATACAAAACTCAATTCTTAGCCGAGTAAAAAAAAAAACCGAACGTTTTACTAATTATGAAGTTTCTAAAATCAAAAAAACTACTTAGGAAAGAAATCCGAGAGAAATAAAGTAAATTTCGGATCTGAATTTAATTCAGGGCAAAAAAAATTGAACGGTATAACATTTAAATTTTAGACTGATCAAACATAATTTTTTATAATACTTTATAATATTATATATTTATTCTTATTTATTATATGTAATTGATAATAACTAATAGCGAACGAAATGTGCCAAATATTTAGTATATGAGTTTTTTCAGTGATATTCCAAGTTATATTATATAACAAAGATTGTGATAAATAACGTGCCATTACATCGTAATTCTTGAAATAAAAAATTTACAAATCATAGACATATCTTGGATACATATCTCCCATTTGTTTAATTTCTTCATTCTTTCCTATATACCAAGATGGATTTCTAACCTTTTTTTTCTTTTCCAATTTCAATCCGCAATATTGTAAATTAACCAATATAAAAGACATTAATAAAAATCCAATGACTATCATATGACCAATTTTATAATCAGGAAAATCTTTTTGTCGATATATTTGAGCAGCAATTATTCCTCCAATATTTCCCCAAGCTATTATCATTGCACTTCCTACAGCTCTTTTTACATTACCTGCTAGATTATTTGTTAACCTTTATATAAGATTTAAGGGAGATTTAAGAATTGTGTAGGGAATGTAAGAATATAAGCATTATAATTGTATAAATAGGAAATTTACCAGGAAATAGAAATTGCGATGGATGGACATAACCCAGAACCAATTAGACACGTTCCTGTATATTTTCCTAAGAACAAATTAAGGTAATGAATTTAAATAATAAAAAATAAACACATACGTAAATTGCACATACATATATATAAAAAGTACATACCAGCAGTATTCATCTCTGGAAATATTAATAATAAAATATAGCCACAAATTGTCGACATCAAACAAAATAATAAGAATAAAGCTCGATTATCAAAACGTTCTGATAATATTGCTATTATTATTGTAGTTATAAAGCCACAAATGAATGGCGGTGCAGCAAGAAGTTGGGAGATTACTATACATTGAGAAATTCAAGAAATTTAATTTATGTTTCATTAAAATAATATTAAAATAATATCTTTAATAATAACAACGGTAATATAATAATTAGATAACAATAAAATAAATACCAGGATCAAATCCCAAGCCATTTACGATTTCCGGAATAAAGAATGAGAAAGAATAATAACTGACCAGAATCCCCATGAAAATAAACATTGAACACCATACTTTCTAATATATTGAATGAATTGAATGAATTAAATAGTTTCAAAGAAATAAAGTAAGATAATATTTACCCAATCTTTAATTGTTGCTAAAATTTGATCTTTATTAAAACGTGAAGTATGACCAAATGCTGAATCTTCTCGAAGTCGCTTAATAGCTAATTCAATTTCTTCTTCTGTTAACCATCTTGCTGTTTCTGGAAAGTCTGGAATACCAAAATATGCTATTATCGCCACAAATATTGTAGCACACCCATCAATTAAGAAAATCTATTGAAAAGTTTTTAATGAATAAAAGAATGAATAAATGAAAGAGAATGAAATTGTTAATACTTACACGTTGCCATCCACTCGAAGCAAAATTTACATTTACAATCAAATAAGCGAATAAACCACTAAATGCTCCTGATACCGTCGCTCCAGAAAAAAAAAGACTAATTCTATAAGTTTGTTCAGATCTTTTATACCACATTGTAAGATAAAAGATTATTCCCGGAAAAAGACCAGCTTCGAATATTCCCAAAAAAAATCTGACCAACATTAATTGCGTGAAATCTTTTACCTTTAAATAAATTTTATAAATTCTTCAAATTGAAAAGATAAAATGAAAAAAAAATGAAATAAAATAAAAAAAAATAATGGAAATGACATACAAAAGCCATTATAATCGTTACAACACCCCATACGAATATGGTGGAAGGAACTAAATTTTAAAAGGTTGAAATTTATTAGATATTAAAATTGTAATTTCAAATTTTTAAATTTTTTTTTAGAAATAAAAAATAATAAATTTTACTCCATATCGATGGGTTTATTTTCTCAAATATTATATTTGACTTTACTTGAAATAATACTTGAAATAATATATATCCACTAAAATTTAAATATTTAATTTTTCAGTCTTTTTAATCGTTGCGATAACATAACATAATATATATGCAAAACGTACAGAAAGAATATACTCAAGGCCCAATTATATTGACTGTCAATTAATCCAAGATCACTTTCCAAGTTTGCCAGTTTAGCATTTCCAAGATTTACCCTTTTTTTTCAAATCATAACGTGTAAATTATAATGAACCTATTTAAAAATTATAGCGCAATTAAATAATACCTGTCCAGGAAACTAAGAAGATAAATAAGTGTGATTATTGGCAAAAGTCTTGTATCCAATTTCCTTAATAATTTCTTTTCGTTTGTTATTTCATTTGATTCCAAAGACATGATTTAAAGATAAAATTAATCAAATCAGTCAAAGCAATCGATACCGTCGAAAATTTATAAAATTAAGACAATACCATCGAGAATTTTGTAAAATTAAAACTTGCTAAAAACTAGTTCCTCGCCAAATTTTATGATTTATGAAGATTTAATCTTGATTAACTTTTAGATTTAGGGCTGAGTTTGCAGCTTTGACTTTATTTTTTTAGTTATATCGTGAAGCGGAAAATTTCAATCGATTATAAATAAGCCATTTGACACGTTAATATCAAATCAAAAGAAAAGAAAAAAAATTTTATAAAATTATTACATTTTTTTAAAAAAAACGAGATCTAAGAAATAAAATTTTCGTTTTCTCGCTCGTTAACTTGATTTTTTTTTTTGATATCTCGAGATTTTATCATGTAAATATAAAAATGACACGTATTGCTTAATAAATCATATGAAATTTGTATTTAGTATGATAATATTATTATTATAACAAAAAATTAAAAATTATTAAATGCGATTATAAAATATTTATTACATTTTAATATAGTTCAATAAATAAAATAATTCGAGAAATAAATCTACCAAAAAAATTTGAAATAAATTGAAAAATAAATTGAAAACAAACATTGAAATTTAATCAAAAAAAAATCGTGATATTGAATTAAATTTCTCACCCTAAAGTCCTAAAGTTTGCTATTAATCCTGAATGTGTGTAAAATCTTTACAAGTTTTTTTTTTTTTTTTTGAATAACATTAATTCTTTGGAAAATCTAAAAGATAAATTATGAATCAAGATCTTTCCATAAAGGATCTCTTCGCTCTATTAAAAATCAAATAAAATCAATAAATTTTCAGTAAATTATTAAAAAATAATATTTATTATTTTAATAGTAAAAAAGTGAACTTACCAATGAGAAGAGGCCAAGGATCTACGTAATCTTGATTGATAGAAGATATAACCGTCGTTAACTTTTTACATAATTTTTCATCATATTCAATTGTTGTATCTTTTCCTATTCTTAATTCTTTTAATCGTTTTCCAGTTTCTCGAGCGTAATCGGCTATAACTTCTAATAAAGTATCATCAAATATTTCAACATCTAAACTTATAATATTAAGAGGTGCTTTACATTCTTCCAATAATGCGGTTAAAGATTCTGGAGCAACATTATATCTACATTCAATTTGTAAATGTTTTAATGTAATTGGTAATAGTCGACCGAGTTGTTGTAAAAATGTAATACTAAATAAATTTGATTCTGTTCCAAAGTCACTAAGTGCTAAATGTTCAACAGTGGACTGTGATATGAAATTAAGTAATGGAAGAGTTGTAGTACGAATAGCTAAAGAATTTAAATTTGGGATTTGTGTATTAATTACTTCGACAACTTCAGGTGTAAGATAATCTATTGTTAATTCTACTAATGTCGAGGCTGCCATCATTATAATTGAAGTACAAGTCGTATTCGTTAATGAATTTTTTCCTAAAGAATTATTTAATACTAATTTCGTGATGGGAAGTTGAATTAAAGAATCACATAAAGTAATATCTTGTTCTTGTTGACAATTAACGAAATATAATGATCTTAATTTATTACATTTTGCTAAAATTTCTAATGAATTTGGTTCAATATAAATTTTTCGAAAATCAGCATGAGTGAGTGAATCCTTTTGACTTGTGAGAGCTGAATATATTGACGCGGATCTATTTGGATTAAAAGATCCTGCAAATGAATATATCATACTAAATTTTTCTAAATTTATTTGTGATTCTATTAATTTTGGTATTTGACAAGTAATCGCTCCGTCGTCATGTGGCGTAATAACCAAATGAGTAATTCTTTGTGAATTTTCAATTATTAACGATAAAAGATTTGCCAAATACCCAGAATGATCAGGACATCCACAATTAATTCTAAACTCTTTAAGGCTACAAATTGTATTTTGTATTCCAGAAAAAGAAGCAAAATCCGCAATACCATAATTAATTTGTGTATCGAAACTCAATAATTTTAATCCGTTACATTTATTGATTAATAATTCGGATAATATTGCGTCTAATATATAAAAATTTGCTTTATTTCTAATTCTATAAGTTGTATTGTTGGTCCACCATTGAACAAGTGACAATTGTAATACTTCGATGCGAAGTTTTTTTAGAAAAATCGGATAATCAAATAACGAAGACTTTAATGGAATATCTAATCCTTCATCCAATAATATTTGTCTTTTTTCTTTGTCAAGACATGATAAATAAGTTTGTATGAGAAGATGAGATCTTGAATGATTTTCAAGTAAAATTTGATCAAATGGATTACTCCAAAGTAATGAAATAGCAACTTGACCCAATGAACGGTTAACCAATGTCCAAGAATGTAGAGAACCTTTTTCTCCATTATCATTTAGGATCTTTAAGATTTCTTCGATACAGTCAGATGGAAGTTTAGGTGGTTTGTTACTCATTATTACGGAATTGCGTTTAATCATTATTTAAATTTATTACTGTAATAAGTGAAATAAGTGAAATATGTGAAATAAGTGAAATAAGTGAAATATGTAAAATATATGAAATAAGTGAATAAATGAATATAATAAAGATTAAATTCGTAAATTAAATATTTAAAATATTCAAAATGAAGAATAAAATTGAGAAATATTTGATTAAAGTTAAATCAATCACAAACCTAAAGAATCTTAATTAATCTTTAATAGTTTCCAGATAGTAAAAATATAATCTATATATATATATATATAAGTTTTATTATTAACAATAAAAAGGGATTGAGATTAATACATTATATAAATTTATATAATTTATATAATTTATATTATTAAAAAAATTAGATCATACCATACAAAGTTTATTTGAAATTTATGTCAAATTTCACTTTTTCTCTTATAAATACTTTTGAACTCAAAACAAAAAAGCAACAATTAAGAAAAATGCAAGTTATTGTAAAACTTGTTTCAAAACACCAACTTGCATGAATAAATATTTAAATATCAACACTTACCAAATGACTCTTTCTAAATTTATTGTCTGAGTGTTACCTCGTTAACTTTTTTTAAAAAAAATAAGGACATATAAAGAAGATTAGGAACACAAGGCACTGATGCAGAATTGAATTTTTTTTTACTTGACAATCATTATAAATCTTTCATTTTGTTATCTTAGCCCTGATGTAAATAGTAGTAGGTAAATAATAATAATTATTATTCCTTTTTTTTTTTTTTTTTTTTTGATGGATCGAATGTATACAAAAATTTAGGAATTAAAAAAAAAAGTTCGTGTTTCTTTCCCGATATAATATAATATATATAAGTTTTAACGATAAGTTGAATTTGTACTTTTTACACATGCATAAAAAAAAAGAAAAATATTAAAAACAAAAATCATTAAATAATAAAAGATAATACTTAAATTTAATTTTATTATCCATCAATGTTTATTTGAGTATACAATGTATACAATATTGATTAATGTTTATTCGAGACAATGTTTAAAAAGCTTATTATCAATTTATGTTCAACAAAATTCTACTACAGATAAATATAAATGCATTATAATATAAATAATATAAATATATTTGTATTACCATCAATCTTTGTCTATAAAACATCTATTTCAATTTACAGTTTTTTTTTTTTTTTGTTTCATCAGTCGAAACGACATATTATTAAATAACCAGGTAATTTTTATTTACAAATAATTTGACTGCAAAAAGTGTTAGAACGATACTTGTAGGACGATTAAAGCAATTAAAATAAAGAATATTATAAAAAAATTATTATTAATTATTTTTAATTATTTATTTTAATTATTTTTATTATTTTAATTAATAATTAATTCAAGAATTAATCTAAAAAAAAAATTTTTTTAATTGCAAACAAACAGGAAATAACATTACACCTTAAATTAAATTAAGTAAAACATTATATAACTTTATTATATTTCCTTTGTGTAATGTTATATAATACTTAAAATGCACGGTGAGTTATTTTTTTTTTAAAACTTGCTCAAATTTAAATTTCAAGATTGTAATGAAAACATATTAATATTGAATATAATTATGTATAAATTTTAGGTAATATCGATATCGGTACTTGTAAATATTGTATCTATCGTGAGAATCACCTCGTGAATGTGAATCTTCCTAAATGTTATGGGTTAACAAAAGAATCGTTTGAAACTATGATTAACTTAAACTTTAAGCATCTTTTGATGAATAATTATTATTCAACTATATGGATATAAGAGTATTTGACCCTTTTCAAAATATGGTTATTAGAAATTGGTCAAAATGAAAATAATACTAACTTTTATATATTAGATTATTTTATTATATATGATTTTAAGATTCTATAGCATTTATGGAAATCTCCCATATATAGTATCTGATTTATATTTATAAATCAGATATCTATAGTATAGGAATATATGGGTATTTAATGTGGGAAGTAGCAACTGGTGAAATTACTTGATTTTATAAATACGAGTTGTTTTTAAATATTTAACCAATTTCAACCAGACATTTAGAAAGATTCTTCACTTTAAATATACAACTTTCGATTAAGAAAAAAATTCACTTTAATTTCTAGAAAAAAAAAAACTAATAAAGTCATATATTCATTTCAAAACTTTTTTTAAATAAATCAAAAATTCTTGAAAATAATATTCATGACTAAGATAAAAAAAGGCCAACCAAATCAATCTTTTCTTTTATAAAATATATGTTATTAGGAAAAATAATATATAATATAAAACCTAAACTAGTGCCTATCAATACTAAAACCTAACCGGATGAATTTAGATTTTATGATGCTTTTTTTAAAATCGCTCTAAACTTAATATATTGCCTTAATCCAAAAATTACTTTAATTTTTATAAAAATCAATCCAAATTTATATAATAATAACTGTCCTAATAGCAAAAGGTACGTTTTGAGACTCCAAAGGATTTTTTTTATACATTGAATGCGGCCGAAGTGGTTGGTTTCTAAGTAACGTGACGCACTAATCTTATTTGTCGCGCGATCTTTCGTATGGTATAAATAATAAAATAATAAAGGTAATAATAAAATTAATTATTTTGATATCATTCAATTATATATTTAAAATTTAATAATAGTGGGAATAATAAGAAAATTTAAATATCTCAAAGGTTCAAGCTTTCTTTGTGAAAAATGATATCTGAATATATTCATATCTTTTAAACAATCTCACTCACTTGAATATGGTTATTTTTTTGATCAAATTATTTAAATTATGTTACATGATTTAAAAATTGAGTTGGAATGGAGGTAAATAACATCGGGTTATTGAACAACAAAGTTTAATTAATTTCGCTGGACCACAAAATTTCGATATAAACTGAATTCTTGTTTGATGGTAGTTATAATAAATTTTGGATTCTTCTTAAGTATTTCATGGAAGAAGGTAATTCAAATTGAGAAGGCAAATTTTTAATTCAGTACCAACTTTAACGCCATCCATAGAAATTTTTGTTGCGCCTTTATATCCACGCCTTTTATCAGATACGGTTGTGCATAACTTACGGCTTTATAATTAGTCTGTCATATACTTGAAAATTTAATAATATCCAGCCAATTTTATATTTGCAAATAGTTTAGCTTGTAATATGACTGCAAAAATAGAATTTGTAAGTCAATTAAACTTCAATTGAAAAATTTTTTTTTATTTAATCCAAGAATTCTAACTCCTAATTTTCTTTAGTTTAAACAGACAAGAGAACATGTGACAATAAACAATTACATCCTCAAATATATTTAAAAGTGCAAACTTATGCGTTTTAAAGCCATCCATCCTTGAGTTATTGCTCTTGAGTTGCCTCTCACACTGAATGGGCGAACATCCAAAATTTTAAGTTGGATATAATACTTTGCTAAATAATATAAGTCAACGAAAGATCAAATCAAATTAATTATATAATGAATTTATAATTGATATTTTGATACAAAATTATTAAATTTATTACAGGAAACATTCGCAAATTAATTACAGTAAAAAATTTTATTTATTAATTAAAATATTTATATACAAAGTATAATGGTTATTTGATATTCAGATCAAAATTATTTTTTGTAAGCATTTAATATAGGAAATTTGCTAAAACAATAAAAATCATATAGGAAATAGGAGTATCTGGCGAAATTACTTTTAGAATAGAGACACTTGGGTATACACCTTTTTTAAGACAATACACCATGACTTGTCCTTTAAAAAAATTTTGAATTACGACATACATAATTCAGATTGGGTTCTTAACTAAGCATTAGTAAAAACTAAAGGAAGAATTGGATGGGAGGCTGGAAAATAAAATGAATAAATATTTGTAGACAACTGGCTGGTACCAATTAGTCCGTTTTCATATTATAATAAATTGTCCATTATCATTAATACTGTTTAAAATTTAGAACCAAGAAATCACTAAGCAAAGGAGATGAAAGTGGACCAATCTTTATATGATAGTTTGAGTGCTCTTATATTACAAAGATATTTTATTATTATTTAGATTCTTCACTCTAATGTGCATTCAATTTTTAGAAATAAATAATAATAAAATTAAATATTCTTTGGAAATCTAAATTAAAAAAAAATAATTTTATTAAAAATGATATCAAGGAAGAAAATAATAAATAATAAAAAAAATTAAAAAATGAAACACGGTCAAATATATTTTATATTAAATCTTGTGTAATCATATTTTCAATTTTAATATCCTTTTCCCATGTAATATCTCTTCCTCAAGTTTGATCTTGAATTTGATTTTATGAGAAATTCAAATTTTACACTAGATTTATATTCATTATTATGATCCAATTTATTTTTAATTTCATTATCTTTAATAACACTTTTTAAAACATATCTTTTAAAACGTCAACGTGCGAACTTAACTCTAAATTTAATTTTTTGCTTTACTCCCAATTCCCCGAGAGATAGAGCAGAAGGGTCATCATAATTTGAGAATTAGGTTAGATTTGGAATTGTCGGAAATAAAGAATACCTGGTTATCGGGCAACGAATTTTAATGGATTTCGTTGAACCACGAAATTTCAACATACTAGATTCTTGTTTCATGCTTGCTTTCAAGCTGTAATAAATTTTAGATTCTTCTCTAGTAAATTTCACAGAAGAAGGTAAATGATCAGGCAATTCAAATTTAAAAGGAAATTGTAATTCATTAATCCGTTGATATGGCTTCACCAAACGCATATATCTTGACAAATTAAAATTTCTTTATGTCTATGAGTTTTAGACCTTTCTCCATGAATTTCTGTCCAAAAAACATATTCAATTTGCTTGACATGTACGGGATCGTCTGATGGAAAGTTAAGTTCTAAAATACCAGATACAGATGATTCGTTGATACCTAAGTAACCATCTTGAAATTGAGAATGAACTGGTGTATAACAAAATGATAACTTTTCACTATATTTTTTGTGCAATTCTTTAGGGGGTCTTAATACTTGCGACATTTTTAGAACCACTTTTTTTTAAAAATTTAAATACTGCTAATTAAGAGGAGTTATATTTGGGGTTGCAACATGAAATTATCCACGTGATTTCACGTATTACATAGACAAACTTGATAATTTGTCCACTGATAGCTGAGCTCTTGTGGCTGAGTTATCGAGGTGACCGTGTTATCAAAATTCTTGATAAGTCAGCCGGC